ATTTAGAAATAAAGAACTTGAACATAAGCTAAACAGGAGGGTTGCCAGAAGTGTTAACATTTCTGGTGATTTTGTGACCTCACATTATCTCTGTACTGATGTTTGATGCTGTAGGTGAGCGACGGTCCTCTGCCAGGTCTTGCCTTTGGTTTCCCTGACAACGAAACTGAGTTGCCCCAAGAAGCACAGACAGTCACAACCATCTCCTGGCAACCCATTCCTCAGACCTCAGAGTATGAGGTGTCCTGCAACCCTATTACACACCTGGAGGAAAGGGGTTTCCAGGTATACACACACACACATAGTCACACACACATATGTAATGCTGGAGATGTAAGGACCACTTATTAACTTTCTCTCCCTCCATATAGATGCGTCTTCCTGGCACCTCCAACAGCGCCACACTGATCGGATTGACATCCGGAGCTTCCTATAACGTCGTAGTAGAGGCAATGAGGGGCGGAGCTAAAGAGAAGGTTTTGGAGGAAGTCGTAACCGTTGGCAATGCCGGTACATTATTCCACACTGACAAAGCGTGCTAAGAGAACTAGCATATTGTGTGTATCATCTGTCATAACAAGTTAGGACAAGGTAAAACACATAAGTTGGTTCTATTCTAATATATATATTTTTTTCTTCCACCCCTTAGTTCCAGGTGACATCCCCATTACCACCAACCGGGATGTGTGCTACGACACATTCACACAAACCTACCATGAGGTGGGCTCAGAATGGGAGCGCATGTCTGAGACGGGCTTCAAGCTGTGGTGCCACTGCCTGGGGCTGGGCAGTGGCCATTTTAGGTGTGATTCATCCAGTGAGTGGCTAAATAACCCCATCCCAGCATGCTTTGCAAACACACCATGGAATTAGAAATCATATAATTCCATGTGAATTACTCAAGAGGAATTTATAAGAGGAAATTAATATATCACATTCAGTCAAAACTAAAAAGACTTAAAAAAATGAATTTTTACATTGTACACATTATAAATTCCTTTGCTACAGTTCAAAAGCCATAGAATTGTATAGTTCACGTTCTATGTGAAGCAGCATGAAGTAATAAAATACTGGTATGGGCATACTGCCTTTTTTCTCGTATGTTATGTATAACTTTATATAGTGTTACAGGTTTTTAGGTTTTTCTACATAAATGCACCATAAATTGGTCATTTCTTTACTATGTACGAGCCTGTCTGTAGTCTGCCCATGTTGGTTTCTCTTCTCTGCCTTTGTTAACTGTGAGAACATCACATTAAGAGGCCAAAACGCTAAGCTAACTGACCAGCGTCAGTCTCAGTTATTTGTATTGTCCTAAGAGCTAACACGACAATACCAGAAACTGAGCTCACCTTCCATTCGCCATAGGTTCAAAGTCATTTTACTGTCTATGTCTGTGTCTGTCCCCCTCACTGGGACATTGTGTATATTCAACTGAGAACCAGTCAAAATCACTCCAGACCTGCATAATAAAAAGTGATCACATAAATGTATTATATGTATTATATTATGATGAAGAATTTTGCTGTGAATCTTTCTCTCCTGTGTGAAGACAAAAAGTTTGAACTTTTGAATAGTTTGGCTGCTCTCTACATTGACTAATGAACTTCTCTCATATATCCACTTCACCCTCCTTCCTCCTTCCTCTCATTCTGCTCACCTTTTGCCCTCCCCATCCTCTCCATTTCAATCCAACCTTCCTCCTTCATGCCATCCTCATGCATTTCTCTCATCCCTCCTCTGCTCTTCACTCCCTTTATCCTCTCGCTCGCTCGCTCTCTCTCTTTCTCTCTCTCTCTTTCTCTCTTTCTACCTTTCTGCCTGCTTTCAGAGTGGTGTCATGACAATGGCAATAACTACCGCATCGGCGAGAAGTGGGATCGCCACGCTGAGAACGGTCACATGATGAGCTGCACCTGCCTGGGAAATGGCAAGGGAGAATTCAAATGTGAACCCCGTAAGTATAGAATGACTGACACACACACAC